CCCTGAGGGAGTCAAAGTCTGCTTTTCTGAAGTCCAGGGTCCGTATTCTGCTGCTCTCCTTTCTTCCTTGTGTCAGGATCCTGAACTCGACCATCTCATGGTCACTGCTTCCCAGGTTCCCATCCACTTTTGCTTCCCCTACTAATTCTTCCCTGTTTGTGAGCAGCAGGTCAAGAAAAGCTCTGCCCCTAGTTGGTTCCTCCAGCATTTGCACCAGGAAATTGTCCCCTGGTGTTTGCAAATTAAGCAATCAATTATTTGCTCCATTATCTTTCTGGTTACAGAAGTTAAGCTGGCTGGTCTGTAATTCCCTGGGTTGTCCTGATTTCCCTTTTTATAGATGGGCACTAGATTCGCCCTTTTCCAGTCTTCTGGAATCTCTCCCTTCTCCCATGACTTCTCAAAGATAATCGCTAATGGCTCAGATATCTCCTCAGTCAGTTCCTTGAGTATTCTAGGATGCATTTCATCAGGCCCTGGTGACTTGAAGACACCTAACTTGTCTAAAGTGACAAAGAATCCTGTGGCACCTTATAGCCTAACAGACGTATTGGAGCATAAGCTTTCGTGGGTGAATACCCACTTCGTCAGATGGTGGTGATTGGATGTCTGTTAGTCTATAAGGTGCCACAGATCCAGACTAACATGGCTACCCCTTTGATATTTAACTATCTTAGACTCTGATCCCACCTCATTTTTACTGGCATTCACTATGTTCGACGACCAGTCACCACCCGCCTTCTTGGTGAAAACCGAAACAAAGAAGTCCTTAACACCTCTGCCATTTCCACATTTTCTGTTATTGTCTTTTCCCCTCATTGAGTAACCGGCCTACCTTGTCCTTGGTCTTCCTCTTCTAATGTATTTGTAGAATGTTTTCTTGTTATCCTTTATGTCCCTGGCTAGTTTGATCTCGTTTTGTGCCTTGGCCTTTCTAATTTTCTAACTGCCAACTGTCTTCAGTTGTTTTTCCCCTTAGACTTGCTTCCCAGGGGATCTGACCTGCCAACTCCCTGAGTTTGCTGAAGTCGCCTCCTTGAAATCCATTGTCTTTAGTGTGGTGTTCCCAAGCTCGGGGTAGTTTGGGAACTGTCCCGTCGATGTGCCAGACCCCCAAGGGGTCCCACTTGGCCTCAACTCTTCCCGAGTCGGAACCTCTGGGGCTCCAGGCCCCCTGCTTCACCCCAGGAGCTCTGATGCACTTTGTCATTGTCTCTTCGGATTTTCCAGTGTTATGGGATCGCCTCGACCACTCCTTTGCAATGACCCGTCCGGGCTCAGACAGGCAGGAGACAGTCTCCCAGCCTGTCTTGAGAGCACACACTCCTTTTACCCCTCTGGGTAAACACGCAAAATATAGGGAAACTGAAGCACACATAGGGGGTCATAAAAATATTACAGAACGTTTCCCCTTGGTCACAGTCCCGGAGCACGTAGAAGCTGGGGCGGGGGGGGACGGGACACGACGACAGAGCTGTGAGGACTTGGAGTACTGTTAAGAAGGGTTTCCCAGGGCAGGGCCAGCTCCCCCCCCCCCGCCCCCAAGCAGCCGCTGCTTCCCCAAGCAGCCGCTGCTTAGAGTCCTTCCGTGACCCAGGGAAATGCTCGCCCCTGGGCTCTCGGGGGTCTGCTTTCATGGAGCCCAGCCCAGCCTCTCTGCAGGGAGCTCACTGAGTGGTGCCTGACGGGGAGGGACTGGCAAGGAAACCAAAGCCCGGCAGTTTTAGGGCAGCCAGTCACTCCACACGGGAGCCCAGGGAGCAGAGACTCTGACAGCCCTGGAGCCTGGCCGTGGTGATAGCTTTGGGGGCTCTGTAGTGAGGGGCCCGGCAGCAGCTCGTGGGGGGTCAGCAGAGGGACCAGCCAGGAGCCCAGAGCAGGACCTGGGGGCGAGGCCCGTGCCATGCCATCCCTGCTCTGGGGCATGCTACACAAGGTGGCAGAGGGTTCACAGAGCAAGGGAGCTGGAAGCGAGGACTCCTGGGTTCTGGGAGGGGGGTGGGGTCTGATAGGTCAGGGAGGTCTGGGAGCCCAGACTCCTGGGGTCTAACCCACCAGACCCCCCACCCCTCCCAAAGCCGGGGAGAGGGTTGGTGGGTTAGAACAGGGGGGCTGGGAGCCCGGACTCCTGAGTTCTCTCCCTGGCTCTGGGAGGGGAGTGGGGTCTAGTGGTTGGAGCAGGGGGCTGGGAGCCCGGACTCCTGGCTCCTCTCCCTGGCTCTGGGAGGGGAGTGGGGTCTAGTGGTTGGAGCAGGGGGCTGGGAGCCCGGACTCCTGGCTCCTCTCCCTGGCTCTGGGAG